GAGCTTCTTGAGAAAATAAATGTATTTTCGAGTTAGTTACAATGCAATTTCCTTGTAATTAGCTATATATGAGTTACAATGCAAGTATTTATATACTACGTGCATTATCGAGATGTTAATAGAAACCAAAAAAAAAAAAAAAATTCTTTGTAGCAAAATTGTTAACGATATTATTTCTCCAAGACATTTACGCAGATGTGTATTCTTTTCATGAAGGATGAAAAATAAGTTAACAGTTTTTCGAGCAGATGCTCCAAATTATACAGCTTTGAAGATTAAGTAATGAAAACATAAACTCTTATTTCTGGTTATGTGCTGAAAAAGATATTACCCTTTTCAAAGAAAACACCTAATAGCGGAATCTCCAAGTTGACTTCAACGTAAATATACCTCCAGGGGTATATTTTAGTTTACTGAACTAAAAGCTTACCACCTTTGTACATTTTCTACTTTATATGGGAGACCATTACCTTTGTGCAAGGACAAAAAAGCATCCGCTATCTATTTTTCTCAGTTCTTTCATTTTGTTAACTATGACGAGAAATGGAGCTGCCGAAAATTCTAAATTTATTGCTTCTTCCAAAGACTCTGATTTCAAGTTGTGTATTTGCCGTCTGTTAGTAATTTAAATTTTTTTTTTATCAAAACATATAAATCAACTTTTTGTAATTAAACAAGGTGATTTTTTAAAAGACTAGTAAAAGAGGATTCGATTGAATTTTTTCTATTGTTATTAAATTATAATAATTAGTATACTCAAACTATGTTTATTGGGAACCATTTAAGGACATATTATAACGGTGGAAATTACTTTTGTTCTTTTTTAAATTCCTCTATACATTATAATATTAACCAATTGAGCAAAATTTGTGTTATACAATAAAATAAGTAATGTAACACAACAACAACGATAAATAGCCTTCTTATATAACAGCCCCAATTAAAATTACTAACTAGAAACAATAAACGTGGAGAAATTTCTATTATGTAGTAAAAGTAAACTTTAAAATATTTTGGAAGAACTGGTCAGAAATTATGTAAATGAAAGGGAATCCAATTTTCATTTTTAAAAATTTTCGTATAATGTGTCAGTTTATTTTAAGCCATTTTAACTAGTAATAACAACTTGATATTGTTTCAAATTAAAAATAATGAATGCAATATCATCCACATTTCGAAATGGGCTTATTTAGTTATGCTGTTATAACTACAAGAAATAACTGTTGATGGAACATTTCCACAGCAACATAATTTTGATCTGCTATGCAAGTTTATTTATGTGTTTAATTTTTTAACAAATATTGAATCGTCGAATGTAAAAAAAAAAAAAAAAAAAAAAAAAGCATTAATAAAATTTTTAAATGCCTATCTTTGAATTTAAGTTTCGAACACAGCATATTTAAAACACGAGACTATTACAAGACTTTGCTAGGATCCTGCTAGTGGCGCAAGCACGCTTTGTTAGAAGGAAACAACTGATTGAAAGCATGTGTTCAAATTATCACAACTGCCATTTATCTGTGGAGAAAAGGTACGACTTTTGTATACGCATGTTTCAAAACTTGTTTTTCGTTCCATAAGTACGCCAATCCCCAGGGGTGTAATTACTCTTTTACAACAAATCTGAACTACTACAGTTCTTTCCGAAACGTGAAGAGAATATACTTACGATGACCTTACTGAATGATCTGAAAGCCATCTGCTATTCTGAACTATTTTGTACTTTTTTTAGAAATACAGTAGGTTATAAGTACAGGTTTCTTTTTACACATCTACAGTTATTCTTTTCTAATTACTGTCATGTAACATAAATGCAAAATCATTTAATATTTATTGTCTTTCGCATAACATGTCAAATCAAATTTCTCTTAAGTCATCTGTTTATGGGTGAAGTTTTTTTGTGTATTTTTTTAATTTATACTATGGAAGATAAAATACAGCAATCAATGAAAAATATATAAATTCTGCACATGTGAAAATAAAATTATGGTAAAAGGATTGAAAACCATTTCCAATACAAGAGATTAAATTTAAAAAATCATGTTTGGGCTAAAATATTGTCTTGCAAAATCTTTTCCAACACACGTGACAATTTTCTGTACACAGACAAGCTTTTTTTTACTGCTTAGGTCTATAAATCTCAGATCCTTTCCCAGATTTTATTAATCAGGTCTTGCTGACCTAAGATGTAATACTTTGATAAAGAAATTTTAAAAAGGTTAGCTTTTATTATTTCAGTAATTCGGAATATTTATAAAAATTGGGACTACTACAAATTTTATTAAAAGTCTTATGATTCGAAAAAGTGCTTCAGACAGCAGAAGTTATTTAAATTAAACAGAAACTGTATTTGATATGTTGTTTGGTGTGGTAAGTTAAAATATCATTGCAACTGGTTAGACAACATTCAATCTAAGAATGCTACTATTTTAGAGGATTCTATGCATTTCAAAAAAAAAAAAGCACAGATTATTCCTGCTTATTCTATATGACTACTGCATCATTCACCAACATGCATTCAAAAAACAATAAAAATAAATAAATCCACAAAGATCTGAAAAGTTTCCGATTATAATTACATCCATACATTCTTAACATTTTGTGTGTTACCTTTATTTACTAAATATCAAGTTCTTCACACTTAGACAAAAAATTCAGTTCAACAGTAATATCGCAAAATAATTTTAAAATTGAGCATATCTTTATAATTTCCGATACGCAGTCTCATGCGCTGTAGATAAACTTTTTTTTTTCTGTACAACTTTGCCATCGCTCGCTTTGAAATCCTTGAGTTGGGTAGAGTAGACTTTAAGGTACCCCTTTTATTATGGCGAAGTTGTTGTTCGATTTATCGCCAAGTTTGTTTCATTTATGGTAGCCTGAGTAGTTGAATGTTATGGAAACCCTATTGTGACATAATCGGGTGCATGATTCTGGGAAATTTTGAATCATACGATGTTTTGTAAGCGTTTTTGTGGTGTGTGTTAAAACCGTTTAGATGGATTTGAATGGGTTTGTAGGAAGAAAGGTTCAGATGGTCACTATAGGAAGCGTTTGATCAGAAAGAATACCTGGTTTGAAAAAAGTCATTTGAGATGATTGATATTTTGATTTTTATGTGGCTCTGGGTGTACGAAGAGAACTCGAAAATCATGGTAAGTGAATATTTGCTTTTGGTAGGGCTTAAACGTATAACATGTTTTTCCTTTTTTATGTTATTTTATTGTTTGGTTTAAAATGTATTTTATTGAGATTATGTATTTTTTGTTTGCCTATATTGTAGACTTTAATGCTTCTTTGACTTTTTAAGTGAAAATATATCGACGTGTACATGGACAAAGTAAAGGGAGTGCGCAATGCAAGTTTGTGCAATTCTGGGATTTTTTTTTAATTGAAAATATATCGATGTGTACATGGATAAAGTTAAAAGAGTGTGCCATTTTGCCATTTTTGTGCAATTTGGGGATTTTTTTTTTTTTTTTAAGTGAAAATAGGTCGACGTATACATGGATAAAGTCAAAGGAGTGCGTAATGTCATTTGTGTGCAATTCGAGGTTTTTTTTTCAAGTGAAAATAAGTCATTGTGTACATGGATACCGAGTTTGTGCAATTGCTTGTCTTGTTATTTTGGCTTTGTGTAGCGGCGATTTTTGGCGCAAAAATTGCCTCTTTGCAAGCCAAAATAACGAGTCAAAGAATTGCGCAAAATCGGTATCCATGTACCAAAAATCGCCAAGAGGTACCCTAAACTATACTTTTACCCCTTGAGTTTGTTAATCAAAACTTCGTTAAAGTTTTACAAAATATGAAATCGATAAAAAAACAAACTCCAAATTTCAAATTTAGGCTTTCAGATGCCCATATTCGCAGTAGGATTATGTCATTCAAAATTGGATGGCTCGAGGTACCATTGTTTTATCACAATGCAGAGGAACATACACACATTTATGAAGATTCTTCCTTATTTAATTTCTTCAAATATAACACAGGGCGATAGTATTTGGTGGCAACGATTTGAAACGTGATACAGCCTTTTAAAGTATTCAACATAAAATTGCAAAACGAATACAATAGTCCTTCAGGGACAAAGCCCCTTCGGACTAATAAATAAAGATCTGAAAGGTTTCAAATTTTAAACTACATCCAATGGGATGTTTTTAACGTTTTGCATATTACCTTTATTTATTAATATCATGTTCTACGTGCCCAAACCATAATTCAGTTCAACAGCAATATCTCAAAATAATTTTAAAATGTGCGTATCTTTAGAATTTCCATTTAGCATATCTTTATAGAGTACCACGCGCTAAAAATAAAAATGGGTTTTTTCGTACAGTTTTGCCATTGCTCGCTTTGAAATCGTTTAGTTTTTTAATCAAAAATTCGTTGAAGTGTTACAAAATATGAAATAGATAATAAAAGAAATTCCAAATTTGGGCTTCCAAATGCCCATATTCAGGTGGAGACATACGTTATTCAAAATTTGATGGCTCTAGGTACTATTGTTTTATCACAACGTGAGAAACATACATACATTTAAGCAGATTCTTCATTAGTATGATATTCTAGCTCTGAAAAATTGGTCTTTTGCCGATCTGTTTAATCAGCAGCACAAATGAGTTTAATAAATGGTGATTTTTCTATTGATTACTATGTATTTGTTTTAGTTCCTAGAAATTTGAATATAAGTAACTGAGTTTATTAAACAGCGAGTTTAATAAGCAGTGGGTGCTGTATATTTATAAAGCATTTGCCAACAGAAACTGCTTCATATATAGATTATTCAAGAGAAAAATCATAAAATCACCCATGCAAAAAAACATTCCAACAGGAACTGAATGTAAATGAAACGAAACGCGATTTTAGTTTTCTCTTTAAAGTTAGCAATTAGCATCTAAATGTTGAATGGCATAGTTGGCAGTTTTAATTACTAAGAAATTTGGAACCCTTATTATTAATTTAGTAAATTAAAATTAATTTGCAGATATATAAATACATACCAATTCCCCACATGTAAAACATGGTCCAGAACCTTCCTGTGCACAAACAATGCGTCCACAATGAATGCAGTTATTTATCAGTTCATGTTTTGTGGCCTCACACAGGCAAACATGCCTACCAGGGATTAATATTTGACCCTTCATTAAATCATAATTGGTCACTGGCAGAAATTTTTGATGTTTCCCACTGCTTTTCTTCATAGTTACCTATGCAGCTACAAAATTATAAATTGTAAGTAAAATGATCATGCATTTTAAAATGATAACAGTTAAATATACTATAAAGCTTAATAAATCATTTTTGTTCTGTAAAAAAGCAAAAAATGTAAAATTTTTGCAGACAGTGATGTAAAAGATATATGCCAAATTTCATGAAGACTGGATAATATTTAGAGGTCGCACACTTTCATTAATTTTGTAAAAGTAAGCAAAAAAATATGATTTTTCAATGTTAATTACTTTTATTGGGAAAACTAGAAATCACAAACTAAAATAATATTAAAACTAGACACTATTATTAATAGGCAGTATGATAGGCAAAATGTGTTATATTAATCAATTTTTAACAATGCAATCCCTTCTTTTATTCGTTTTTCAAAAACTTTCTATCATGGACTACCCTTTAAAAGAATTTTTTGTTGTTCATCCCTGACCTATTCATTAAATGTTTTCATTAGAGCAATTCCTCTTTCTGTGGTAACACCTGACCACCTTAAAAGCGTTCACATGGCTTCTTAGAGAATCACTGCAGTATTCGGGCATATCATAAATCCCAAACAATTCAAAGAACATTTTTGTTTTATTAGTAACAAATTGGCTTAGGTATTTTCATTTAAAAACTAGATTTTTATACACTAATTGTTTCGATTCCTTTTTTGGCTAATCTTTGGAATATGGTAACAGGTAGTTTGGCGACATTTTGGTATGGCGATAAAGGTTACTAGCTAAGTCTTTAGCAGTGTACATGGATATAGTCAAGAGTGTGTGCAATGCCATTTTTGTGTGCAATTCTGGGATTTTTTTTAAGTGAAAATAGGTCGATGTGTACATAAATGATACCATGTATGTGCAATTCGTAAAAACGCAGCAAGCTGTGGGCGATTCTGCACTATGTCCCAATTTTGCACCTAATCTTCGTCATGATTAAGCACTTTTGTACCATAAAAGTTCTAGCATAAGCGTAATTCGGTTAGCAGATTGTTGGGAAAAAATGTTGAGTAAAAAAAAAAGAAAAAAAAAAAAAGCCTTTACTTCGTGAAAATAAAATGGCGTCCAAACAAAAACTAGCAGGTTGCTGTAGCAGGGTTGGTCACCAAATTTTCGCCAAAAAAGGCGCCAAGTTACCATAATCCAAAGATTAGCCCCTTTTTCTTTGCAAGTTTGGCTTCTAAATTTTGAGTCATATTTTCTTTATCAGTCCGAGTAATACGTTCATCCATAAAAGCTGATCCTAAGTTTGTTGCTGAACACATATGAAAGGTTTTTCTTAGCAACTGTGAACACACTTTTTTTTAACATCTGCATCTGCAGAAGCTATAGCATAACCAAATCGTTCTTTGAAGCCGATTGACTTTACTGCCTTGTGCCCAAAGCGAACTTATACGAGGCTGATAAAATGTACAACCTGTTTCATGCCTTTTAATTCTCACTGAGGAATATTACACTGCTTAGTGAGGAGGACAGTTTTAAGTCCATATATTGCCTTTGCCATCCATCATCCACTTTGCTTGATGCAGAGCCCTTGGCATAATGAAAAATGAAGTCGTTTTGAGACCAACCTCCTAGATACAGGAGTGAGAGTTGTAACAATTCTTTGTAGTCTTCTCTTAGATGACTTCCATCTTTTAGGGCATTCTGGATGTAGTTAACCATTTTCAATGGTGGCTCTTCTAGAAAGTTTTGAAAGGAACTTTCTTTATCCAGCATTGTTGTACATGACTTTTTATGAAGTGAAGCCCACAGACTTTGAAACTTCCAGAAAAATCTGGACATCAGGACCACTTGATAGTATGTACTTGAACACTCCTTTCAATATTAGTTCATGGGTGTAATGAAGGTAAGCCAATTACAACAATGTTCACCCAAATTCCTTTTCAATACTGGTACATGCCCCTTGGATTACCGTAATTTACAGAAGAAACGCCACGGCATTTACGTGTTTAAAACTTAAATTTTCAGCGGGTGCGGCGTTTCTACAAATGCAGCATTTAGGTGCACTAAGAATAAAATATTTCCTATGGTGGTCATTGTACATAGTTTGGATGGCCTTGTCATTGTACATAGACTGGTGCTATTTCCACACAAAAGACCACTTAGTTGCTTTTTGCGAATTTTATTTTGTTTACATTCTTTCCCTTGAACAGACCTACATGCCTTATTCACCCTAAACGAAATCTAAGAACAATAACATTCTTCCCCCTTTCAATTCAGCATTCTCATCATTTTGAATAGTCTCTCTCCTCTGCCATTCGATGAATCTTCCAGGACCCCTCCTCTCTGCCCCCCTGCCTTTTCTGAAATTTTTTTCAAAGGCGGACACGACTCCACCTGCCTCGCAATAACGAACTCTGAGGTATTTTCCCTTCAGCATGAAATGATTTTTATTGGCATTCTACCAGAAACAGATCCCATCAGTTTGGGTAAAAGTACTTGTTCGATAGTTTTTAAGTAAGAAAGGCACAGAAGCTATACTGCTGGTTTTAAGCTTAATATAATTTCATGTGCTGAACAAAATAGAGCAGTAGCTTGAGAGTTTGAAATGGACGAGAGATGTATTCGATGTTGGAGAACTGACAAAGAAGAACTTAAAAATATGCACAACAGAAACGAGCTAAAAGTGGTACTGTAAGGTGGCCAAATCTAGAGGACAACCTTGCAAACTGGATAAAGGAGCAACGAGGAAAGGGAATGGCAATTTTGACAGTAAAAATTCACTTACAAGCAAAATTTATAGCAAAACAAATGAACATAAATGATTTCAAAGGAGGGCCTTGCTGGTGTAGCAGATTTATGAAAAGAAAAAAATATTTCTGTGCGTACTAGAACAACAGTCGGGCAACAATTACCAATGGACTGGCAGGATAAAAAGGCATCTTTTCTAAAATATGTGACAGATATTATTGATAAAAAAAAAAACTTCTTTGGTCACAGATAATAAATATGGATGAAACGTCGTTAGCTTTCGACTCTCCTGCAAACAGAACTGTTGATGAAACTGGTGCAAAAACTGTATCTGTGCTTACAACAGGGCATGAAAGAACATCATTTACATGTGTGTTAGCTTGTGCCGCAAATGGTGACAAGCTAAAATCGATGATCATTTTTAAACAAAAAACTATTCCGAAGGGAGATTTTCCTAATGATGTAATTATTTGTGCAAACGAGAACGGCTGGATGTGCAAAACAATCGTGCACGAGTGGTTACAAAAAATTTCGCAGTGTCGTATGTGATCTTTTTTCCAACCAAAGGGATTATTGATAATGGATTCCATGCATGCTCATTTACTTGAGTCAGTGAAAACCAGATGTCAAAAACTGTCTACAACTGTAGCAATAATTCCTGGTGGTTTGACAAAAATCTTACAACCATTAGTTTGCCAGGTAATAAATCCTTCACAGCTGAAGTCTGAAAGCGGTGGGAATGTTGGATGAGTGAAGGATTGCATACGTATACCAAAAGTGGTAAAATGCGTAGAGCATCTTATGAAGAAGTTGCAAAGTGGGTAGGAAGTGCTTGGAAATCAGTAAAAACATCGTCAATAATAGCAGGGTTCAAAGAAGCTGAAATTATATCCTTAGATAAAGAGACTGTAAACCAAGAGGATGAATGTGACGATCTGGAAGACTTAGATCAGGAGTTCCTAAATCTTTTTAATTCAGATAGCGAAGAATCAGATTTTGATGGCTTTATATGATGTATAGTTTGCTGTAATTCCTTTTGTAAGTAAAATTTAAAATTTCCTTTTGTCATCCAAATTTAATATTTCATTGTTGCAAAATTTTTTATAATATAGTCTGAGTATTACAAATATGGACTTCTTTAGTAGTTAAATATAAGTATATTCATGAAAGTAAATATATTTTCAACATTTCTTACCTTTAATTTATTTTTGAATTATGGTTTCATTTCATGCATTTCTCTTAACTGATATGTCATATATCAGGACATAGGTTGAGATTTTGCATCTATACGGCCCACGACGATGTCACGCGCAATTTAATCTATTGCGGCATTTCTGTGTAATTTTAATTTTTTCCCCGCCATTTTTCTCGAGTGCGGCGTTTACGCTGATGCGGCCTTTCTTCCGGAAATTACGGTAGTTCTGTATTAGATGCTATAGTATCAAAAGACACACTGATGATATTGCCATGTGGCTCATATTGGTCCAATTCCCAAAGAACTACTTAAGACATCTGCTCACCAGTGCCTTTGAGGGCAACAGGTTCGCCAAGCAAATGCTCAAAATCTTTGTCACTCACCAGAACTACAACTCTTCCAAAGTTTTTGACACTCCCAAGGGCAACTAAGGGCACCAGTTTACTAACTGAAGGCAACAGCCAGCAAATGAAAGACCATGTGAGGAGGATTTCTAAGAATGACTCTTCAATTTTCTTTGCCATTTTACTACTATGGATTGCCCTAGCTCATTGAACATCAGCTAGAGATATGGAAATATTTTAAACATCATGGCCAAGGCTCTTTGCAGTTGCTATAAATGAAGAACTTGCTTGATGAATACAGAGCTGTTTAAAATTATCTAATTATCTATTTCAGTTAATGTTGATGATTGCGTTGTTCCTTAATCTTCGAATTGGATCTGGCTTATTATTTTTTGCAGACTGTAAGAGCAATTTTATAAAAGTAAGCTTGAACTTTCAATTATGTCAAATAGAATTTCCGATGCTGGAGCTCCCAAAGGATCTACAAAACGAAAGTATGTTTCGATGTACATCAAACAAAAAGTGGAATTGCTACAAAAAAAATGGATAAAGACATATCCTTTGTTTATCTAACCGTTCCGAAATCTGTTTATCAATTTCACGCTGCTCTGCGCGGGGGGGGGGGGGGGGGGGGAACGTCGCGGCGCAAGTAAACTGGAAGTTGATCTGTCAGCACTATCGTTATCTTCAGGGCAGATGTTTTTATTTTATTTGGCTTATAATTCCTTACTAAATGTAGTATTTTATCTTGATGTAGTCAGTCTTTGATATGATTTAAATCAAATTCTTCGTCATTATAAATATCACGAATACAAATCAAATAGTTTTCTGGTTGCAATTTTCTAATTTCCGCTATGCGTAATGTATGCTTTACGCATGTGCACGTTGAAAGAAATGTTTAATAAAGTATACAAATAAATATTAAGCTTCTTTTTTTGTAAATTTTGATACCCTTTAGATCATAATTGCTCATTATTTTATAAATTATGATTTCATATTTTTAATTTTATAATTTTTGCATGCCATCTTACCAGATTTAAACTTATGATCTATAATCCGGAAAAATCGACAATCCGGAATAGCTGAAGTCCCGACGAGTCCGGATTAATGACTTTTGACTGTATTAGAAATTTCACTAGTTTGAGATAAAAGTGATCAATGTGTGCAGCTTCTAAGCATTATCTAATCTTCTTGAAACTTCCCATATACAGTAAAAAGTCGTTAATTCGGACACCCATAATCCGGAATGATCTATAATCCGAACCTCAAAGCTACAAACTTTCTGCGCATGCATCGTGTTGACGCATGCGAGTAAGACCTTTACGGCTGCAAATATGCGTGTGCGCACGCGCATAATACGTTTATGCTTGCGCGTCTAATGTATAACGTACAGTATAAGCTAAGCTAAAATTAATTCAGTTAATGTTGCAGATTGCGTTGTTCCTTAATCTTCGAATTGGATCCCGCTTATTATTTTTTGCAGACTGTTAAAGCAGTTTTATAAAAGCACGCTTGAACTTTCGATTATGTCAAATAGAATTTCCGATATATATTTACTAATATGTAAAGGATCTACAAAGCAAAAGCATGTTTTGAAGTCCATTAAACAAAAAGTGGAATTGCTGCAAAAAACATGGATAAAGGCATATCTTTTGTTTCTCTAACCATCCTGAAATCTGCTTATTAATTTCACGCTGCTCTGCGGCGGGGGGAGAGAGAGGAAACGCCGCGGTACGCAATGAATTGGAAGTTAATCTGTCAGGAAGTTATCCTTCTATTCAGGGCAGATGCTTTTATTTTATTTGGCTTATAATTCCTTACTAAATGTAGTATTTCATCTTGATGTACTCCATCCTTGATATAATTTAAATCAAATTCCTCGTAGCAATTATAGGACTTTGAACAGCGGAACTTTGTAACTGAAGAAGAAATTATGTCTGTTTATAGAATTAAAGAGAAAGCATTATCACATAAAACGAAGCAATTTAAACAACTTACATTGAAAGAAATGTTTAATAAACATATAAATATTAAGCTTTTTTTTTTTGTAAATTTTGATACCCTTTAGATCATAATTGTTCTTTATTTCATAAATTATGTTTTCATATTTTATTTTATAATTTCTGCATGCCATCTAACTAGATTTAAACTGATGATCTATAATCTGGAAAAATCGATAATCCGGAATCGCCGAAGTCCCGACGAGTCCGGATTTAACGACTTTTGACTGTATTTATTTTACATCACTCAGACTTGGGATTCATACGAAATCACATCTTTTGAAAAATGAAACGCCCTAATATACAGAGGGTGTTTAAACATTTTGAACAAATGTGTGTCATTTAATTAATGTTTAAAATGTAAAGATTGATTTTTTTTTTTTTAATGTTTATTCTGATAGCTTTTTTAGGGGAGACTATGAGTTTCCATCCTGATTTCCATGATAGAAGAATGATTTCCATTCCTCTTCCACTCCTTTCAGAGTCTATCAGTGGTCATGGGTTTGCTCTTAGAAAAGCTCTTTTACAGGCCAAAAGCCCAATAGTACACAAGTAAAGCCTCAGAGGACTTAAGGGAAAAAAAACACACACATCCCCCCCAAAAAAATACCGAAAAAAATGTGGAAATTAGGAAAAATTTTGGCTAATCTTTGGAATATGGTAATAGGTTGTTTGACGACATTTTGGTAAGGCGATAAAGGTTACCAGCTAGGACTTTAGCAGTGTACATAGATAAAGTCAAGAGTGTGCGCAATGCCATTTTTGTGCAATTCTGGGATTTTTTTTAAGTGAAAATAGGTCGACGTGAACATGGATACTGTGTATGGGCAATTTCTTAAAAACGCGGCAGGCAGTTTGCGAATCTGCACTTTCTCCCAATTTCGCACCTAATCTTCGTCATGATTAAGCACTTTTGTTCCATAAAAGTTCTAGCATAAGCGTAATTCGGCTAGCAGATTGTTGGAGAAAAAAATGTTGAGGGGGAAAAAAAAACATGCCTTTACTTTGTGAAAACAAAATGGCGTCCAAAACAAAACTAGCAGGCATGCTGTAGCAGGGTTGGTCGCCAAAAAAATCGCCAAGTTAACATAATCCAAAGATTAACTAAAATATTGTAATTTATAATAAATTTGCAAAGAATTTTTAAGTCTACTTTATGTTCCTTAAAATTTCTAGAAACTTGTTAAAGCCATCAATGTTTTGCTCCTTGAAAGATATAATGAAGATGTAAAATGCACCAAATTGAACTGATGTAACTGAATCAACAAACTTAAAGCTATGATTTACTTTTAAAATTAACCCTTCGCCAATTGCGAGATTACAAAACTCTTCCTTCCCAAATATGCACAATATCTGTCAGTCTTATATTTGTAAAACAAGTCGTCTTCACTTGCACCCACTGCGGCGCATAATTGGAATGAGAGCTCACTGATGGCCATCAAACGATTAAGCAGTCATAGCTTTTCCAACTCTCTGAAATTATAATTGCATGTTTAACCTATTCCTTAATAATGCCCAATAACATGCTCTCATTCCTATCATGAAGCACCAACAAAAATGCTTTCTCAATTCCCACTCAGCCCCTCAATCAAAAATCCTATATTACATTTATGCTTGCCAAATTCATTTTTGGTTGATTTTCGGATTATGGTAACTTGGTGCCTTTTTTGGCGAAAATTTGGTGACCAACCCTGCTACAGCAACCTGCTAGTTTTTGTTTGGACGCCATTTTATTTTCACGAAGTAAAGGCTTTTTTTTTTTTTTTTTTTTTTACTCAACATTTTTTCCCAACAATCTGCTAACCGAATTACGCTTATACTACAACTTTCATGGAACAAAAGTGCTTAATCATGACAAGATTCGAAGAAATTAAAAGTGCGAATTGGGAAGAAAGTGTGCAGAATCGCCCACTGCCCACTGTGCTTGCCGCGTTTTTAAGAATTGCACATTCACGGTATCATCCATGTACACGTCGACTTATTTTCACTTAAAAAAAATTCCAGAATTGCACAAAAATGGCATTGTGCACACTCTTGACTTTATCGACGTACATACACTGCTAAAGTCCTAGCTAGTAACCTTTATCGCCTTACCAAAATGTCGCCAAACTACCTGTTACCATATTCCAAAGATTAGCCGAATTTTCTCCTATTTCCACTATCTTTACAATACCATCCATTTTTTCTGATAACAACTCTATACAATCTAAAATAGTATCATTAATAAATTACTTCCAGTTTGCTAATATAGTCAAAGCCAAAAACTACTCCTGAATCGAGCCAGTTTTTGTCCCCTTGACCAGTACCTATGTTAAGAACAATATCTCAACCTACTATTCGTCCACTTTAAATTCCACTCCAATACTCCCTGAAATTTCTCACTAAAAACAGATGACAAGATACAATATACAAAATTTTAATTAAAAACTATTAGCAAGCTACTAGAATGCATGTTGGAAGATTGAAGATATTATCTCCTTAGTAACACCTATTTGCTTTATTAATCGTTAGAGAAAAGAACCCCCCTTGATCACAAGCCATCAGTCAAATTCAATGTTCATTTGCTGGAGGGAAAAAATAAAAGCAGCACTAGATGCATTGTCTAAATAGGAAAGTGTTTATTATTAGGCACAAAGTGTTTGAGGAGTTCTCCCAGTAATAGGTTTTGGGATAAATTTACCAAGTAATACTGGAAACTCTCCTGATAATCATCCGTTCCAAATAAAAAGCACTGCAAACATTCAAAGGTACATCAGATTTTTTTTTTTTTTTTTTTGATAGCTGAAGGAGATACAGCAGTGATTAACAGCAAGAAGCCACTACAAGCACTGGAAAGTGAACCACAGACATAAATCTGACAGCATAAAAAGGGGATCCATACGAGACATGTTAAACAACTTTGGGATTCATTCAAGTGGAGAAACACAAGGTTCAAGACATAATCTTCCATTTTAACTCGCTGAATTTAAGAAGATCAAACAGGCAAATGAAAAACTGCTTTTAAGAAAAATGATAAAGGCCATAACTTAATAGTATCCACCTGCTGTAAAAATGTAATTATCATCCACATATATTTTTGTTCCTTTCTTAGTGGGGTGCAAATAATCAAAAGAACCAAAATATGGCCGTAAAAAACACCATACCGATCTGAAAAGCGCCAGATATATCACCTCAAAAAAAAAATTCATCCTCAAAATTCAACGATTGAACTTTCTTCTACACCATATTTCATGAAATTTGTGTTCATTTAAGCTCTCTTTAAATTGTTTAAATTTTCGTTTGGAAGAAATTTTCTTTATGTAGAGAGCGATATGAATGAACACTGAAGTGTGGGAGGTCGAAAGAGCTTTACTTCTGTAAACTTACCTTTTTAAACAACTTATATGCTAATTCCGATTGGTAGGCAGTTAAAACAAAGGAAATAATTCTTCTGAATCTTTAATACCCTTTTTATTTGAACGAATATTGGAGAAGCATAGAAATAATATTTCTTCTTGAGTTCGTTCTTAAAGAACTTCCACTTTTTTAGCAGACGTCATACTACGCGGTTTACATGATTTTTCGTTAACTGAAATCATCCTTGAAGCCCTATAATCATAATTATTTAATTTGGTTACATAATAGCTTGAAAAGTAGCTTACGAGAAAGAAGAATTTGTGAATGCATTATGAAATATTTTGGAAAGTAACTTATTTGAGATATAGTAATTTTTTTTTAATTTAAGTTTTGAAGAGATTCACGCACAAAAAATTCAAGCCTCAAAGCTGTCTAACTGAATCTATGCTATCAAGGTAATTTTGAATCAATAGTTCTGAACTAGTGAACAGTGAATCAATAGTTCCCAAATAGTGAATAGTGAAAAAAATTCTAAGCTAAAATATATTAAAAAAAAAAAAAAAAAAAAAAAAAAGGTTTCTTAATTTTTATAATGTCTCAGCCTTGGTTGCGCCAACTTGGCTCCTTTAAGGATATGGGCGACATTTCATTATGCCAACGGAAGTAAATATCATGTGGAGTATAGGTGCTAGGGAGAAACAAGCGTCTAGCCCCTCAGACGCTAGTTTCCTCCTGGTTCCTCCCTGAACATCTGCGCAGGTTACTGCGCATGTCGTCATTTTCCTGAAGGCGCCTCGTATTTACTGTTATTTACTCTGCTCTTTGACTGCTGTGGTAGCGTGTGATAGCTGATACAGTTCTCTTTTTTTATTTTGCTTCGATTATTATATCTTCTGCACAAAATCAAGAAAAACTGCCCACTTCTGTTTCCTCAGAAGGTGTTTTTGATTCTAAATCGAATCAAAATCAGGAAGGAATAACCGTGTGCGATAATTCAAATTGTGGTATGTCTGATAATTCTGATTGCGTTGCG